CACACGCACAAACAAACACACACACACACACACACACACACACATATATATATATATATATATAGTGGACACGACTACATAGGGAGGACGTCCCAGCGTTTGGATTCGAGAATAAAACAGCATTTACCCCCAGGATTTTGAATCCGTCCTCCAGGAATAGCCAATTAACTAACAGTTCTGGTTCTGCTATTGCTGAACATTTAATAAATAGAAAGAAATGTGTGGAAAATTTTAGTGGTGACCGATTTATTATTATATCTAGGTCCCACTCCACATTTCATCTCAAGGTTCTAGAGTCAGATCCCGTGAGCCTTCCCTTTGTAAACAGAGGGAATGCTTGCTGGGTCTGAATATTATTGGACTCTAGTTTCTTGAAATTCATATTTTCCCCCCATTCGATTACATTCATTAATTAAAAATTAATTTAAACGCTTTTTTAAATTCCCAGAATAAATAACTTGATAAGTTCTGGGACGAAACTGGTTGTTTTTATTTTAGATTTTGCTTTTAAAAATGCCTTATAAATATTGTCTTTTCCTATCTATTATTAAATTCTGTACCACGAAAAACTTATATATATATATATATATATATATATATATATATATATATATATATATATATATATATATATATATATACTTGTCTGTGTGTGCGGGGTGAGTGTAAAAATTCAGATATAATTAAAATATATGAGTAAAATGAAAAGAAAACGATTAAATTCAAAACTTTATTTTATTTAAATATGTAATACATAAATCAATCTCAAATTAAAATAAAAAAAATTCAACAACAACATTTATTCACTTTCTTTTATTAGATATTAAATTACATCACTTAACATCTTCCATAATTTACCTTGAATTTCAGTTAACCTGATGCATACTTATGTGCATTTTTAAACTGAAAACATATGAAGAACTGACATCATTTTTAATTCTGTTTATAAATACTTTGTCTTGATAAAGTTCACCAGAGGACAAAACGAGTCGGCTAAAAAATTCCTGATATTGAATACTTTTCAGAAGAGGAAGATGACTCAAGGAGAGATTCTCAGGCGGCTTGGTATTTCCAGGAACAGTGTCCAAATCATTCAACAGTCGTGTGTTACTACTGGAAGTGTCCTTAGAGCAAAGAATACCAGTCTTAAGAAATACTGTCTTAGCATTGAGGTTTTCACTTAATACAATACACAGATTATTATGATAGAACTACTTGAACAGGCGTATAGCAGCAAAACAAAAACGATCATTATCCCCAAAATATTGGAGTAGAAAATTGAAGTGGTTAAAAGAACATCTAACATGGGATGCTGAAGTATTTTTTTAGTGATGAATACGAAATACATTTAGCTTCTAATGTAAGAGAATATGTACGAGAACCAGTGGAAGAAAGAAACAATGAAAGATAACCCCAAAGATGTAAAATTTGGTGGTGAACACTTAATGTTGTTGGTTTGCATCAAAATCGAAGGCAGAAGAAAATTGGTCAAAGTTGATAATTGAGCCTATGTGATGGGGACTAAAGGAATATGTTTTCCAACGAAAACCACGCAATCTTTAAGACCTTTGGGATTAATGTCAAGAAGAACCAAGAAATATTCCCAATTAAAAATCTGACACAGTTCCATCCAATCCTGCATCAAAGTGAGGCAATTATTCTAGATAAAGGCAGCAGTATTAATTATATACTCTATTTTTGACGTCTTTTTTAAGGCAAACTATGGAGGACCGTGAGGGATATAATTTAATGTCTAATAAACAAAAGGGAGTAAATCTTGTTGAGTTTCTATTTTTTAATGTAATTAATATTTATATCATTTTAGTTTTGGATTAATGTATGTATTATATATTTTAAATAATAGAAGGTTATGGATTTCATATTTTTAACATTTTTATCATGTTTGATGGCTTAGAAAAAGAGTATTTATTTGAGAAAAGAGATATTTGAAAAAAAAAAAAAAAACAAACCAAAAACGGAGCGCAGATTTAAGATTTGTATTTTGATAAAATTTGATAGTGTCACTCTCAAGAATTTTCCACCTAAGTTAATTTCTCTTTTAATAAGTGCAGCTTTAATAACATTTACTTTTGTTTATTAGACATTAAATTATATTACTTAGCATCCTTCATAATATTTCTCGACTTTTCAATTAGTCTGATATATATTTTAGATCGTTATTAAATTAAAACTTTTTGAATAACTTTCGTTCATTTTCTCACCGACGTGACGTGTCTACTCTTCTGATGAGCTATTTTTTCCCTTAGTGCCTTGATGGCGTGAATTTAAGCATGCTGCTAGATTGGCATCTAAATCTCACTGATTTACTGTTGTATTAGATAGATGCAACCGTCAGTTTTATTCTAATAGCCTCTTTTTCGCTTGTGGAACTCCTTTTCGATTTCTTGCTTTTCTGTCGAATACAATTTTCAAAAATTTAAATGCAACGACAATTGCCGTCTTCTGTCTTCCTGAATTCTGCTCTTTTATTGTCCTTTTCCCCACTTCTCTTCACTAAAGTCTGCTTATTTTCTTTCACTCCCTGTAATTCGCTTCTTCTTGCATTATCGCTCTGCTTGGGGCGAAATGATAAAAATAAAAAAAAATACTTGTTGCAAAATAAAATCCTTACATTTGGCTTGATAATGTCCCTCAGAAACACATCAGCTAAGTTTTTCTTTTCTCTTTAGTCAAGTCATATTGTTCTTTTAAAAATACTAGAATTTGTTGCAACACGCTTCAGCGTGTTGATATCCTCACAATATTTAATAATGTTGTTAAAGTTATCTTTAACATTTTTGTTGAGATTTACAAACTCTACGTTTTTTTCAATTTCGCATTTCGATGAAATTTGAATAAGCTACTTCGCGGTTTAATTTTTTAATGTAATTTTATAGGACTTAATGGTAAAAAAAAAAATTTAAGAATTTTATTTTTTTCCTTTTTAACGGCAAAGAATAAATTCTTAGGATTTCTTACTCTTGAACATGCAACATAGAACTGGCCATATGTAAATATTTCTCGCAAACGCAGGGCGAACTGGAAACTGGATTTTTGTATATATAAAACCCTAAAGAAAACTTATGTAAAAGCAATATTGCATTTTTATTAAATAAGTATTTGTTTTAATCATTAAATTCTTTATAAAATAGTAGGAATATTTTTTTATGTTAAATAATAAAACTTTTAATTTTTCCAAAGAAAATAATGAAAATTTATTGTACTAAGCTATGCACCCTAGTAAAACCAAGTGTACTTTGTACCCGCCTTACCTGTTTCCGCGTCTCCTTTAAATCTGGTTTCGATCGGGCAATGTATGGCTGCTTTAGAGGGTGTAACGGACGGATGGATGGACGGAAGTCACAGAATTTTATATATAGATATTTTGTTATATCTGACATTGTACCCATATGTATATATGTATTTGTTTGTGTATATGTTAGTGTATGAGCGGTTTTGTGTGTGTCAGTGAGTTTGTGTATTTGTGTTGTGTGTATATATCTGCATTGTGTGATATAAATTTATGTATCTATGTGTGCGTCTCTATGCGCGTGTGTTTGTATCCAATTCACTCAAAGATTCAAAAATTTAAATTCTTCTAATGAACAGTGAGATTAAAAAATGTTCCACTAATAAGAATGGATAAAATCACCTTATAGCGAGACACAAAAAGTTATCTCTTATTGACCCAAACAAAAATAACAGTAAAAATTAATTATAAATATTCACGAGAATAAAAAAAAACAGTCACGTGACCTGACATGATCCGCATGAGACATAGTTAGGCAGGAAAGCCAATCTTTCTCTTTTCGCTCCGTGAAGCAGGACGCATACATTTCAGACTCGTGACAAACCAAGCAGATAAGTACAAAATTCATATTGTTTTGATACTTAATCTTTTGCAAGTAGATGCATGCTAACCTTGTATTAAGAATTTCGAATATAACACACACACACACACACACACACACACACACACACACACACACACACACACACACACACACATATATATATATATAAGTGTTTTTATACGAATACTTTTGTGTTTTGTTTGAAATTTTCATATATTTATGTTGTCGTCTGTTTTATTCACTTTAAATGAGGTCGATGTTTCATATCCCGCAAAACAACAGCTCGGTTTTTGTTGTGGCCTTGTTAGGGCCAGAAATAAAGACACAAAGAGAGCAATTGAGTTAAACAAATATATTTACAGAAACAGTAATACAAACATTTACAAACGAGAATGTTACAGCAAGAATGTTCGGTTCGACTGTCAGAACTGACTGCTGGAAACTTCCCTCTCCAAAAGGCAGTACCTGCTCCTATTTATAGCTGGGAGAGTCCATGAGTACGTGGGTAAATTACCATAACAGTTTTAAACATAGAAGTATTTTTTCTAACAATTAAGTGGTTTATCAATACTAATGTTGATATGGATATAGCTAAACAGATTTCTATCCTATGAACCAGTATCTAGGTAATAGGCATCTAGTCTTTACAGACTTCTATTTGTGCAATTTATTATAAAAATATGGCGTATATAGAGAGCATCTTAATTCAAAAGCCTTTTTCATGAATGCATTTAACACGTTTCTTCAACCAACGTTCTCCGGCTTCATGAATTTTACATGAAATCTTTCCTAATACCAAAAGACAATTGATATTGGCGTTTAAAGAAAAATAAATAAAGGCCTAAAGTGATGGCATAATCCATGTATAGGCTAAGTATTTTAATCGAATTCCGCACAGAATTTTCAAGATGGCATGCAACGATTAGTGACGATGCTTTGATTGTTGTTTTCTTTCTGAGATAAATACAAAATCTCGCTTTAAACACAGCGCAGAGAAAAATTGGGATGCCTAAATGAAAAGCATTGAAAGAAGAAAAGAAAAAGCTTTTGCGTGCGTTTCTGACAGCGTTTGCATTTACGTTGAAGATGAAAATACTTTTTTCTTTCTTTTTTTTTTTGATTAGTTTGGTGATTTGGGATTTTATGTTAAAGTAAACAACACAACTGAAAAAAAAAAGAAAGAAAGAAAGAAGGGGTTTCAGAGCGGGTCAGAATTAAAAAAAAAAGACTCAGGCAAGAAAGAAACTGAAAAGAGGAATGAAATGAGAAAGAAAGAAAGAAAGAAAGAAAAGAACGAAGAAAAAAAAAGCTTAGAAAGGCGTCACAATCTTTTAAAAAAAGTGTGAAGAAAGAAAGAAAGAAAGAAGGGTACAGAAGAAATAAGTGGAAATAAATAGAAGATAAGAGAATGAAGAGTTTGGAAGTGGAAAGCGTATGTTTTAAAAGCTCTGTAGAAAGAAAGAAAAAAATGTAAGAATGCTGAAATAATTACTATAGATTTGGAAAGACTTGCTGCCACTTAATGGTACAGACCATAATTTTTTTATAGTAAGGTACACGTGGTAGAGAGTTACGTTAAGAGGCAGATTATACGGATAGGAAGGGAGATAACGGTTAATTTTAGACTTGAACAGATTAAGATTGTAATGAAAGGGAAACATCCTCTTGGGAGTCAGTTCTACAAAGCAGGGGTTCGCGAGAAGAAGCAGTTTCAGTGAATACGGAGGGAATGTGGGTGCTTTGTTACAATATATGTGATATGGCGGGTCCTAGCCTTAATGTTTAGACATGGCGGAACCAAGGAATATAGTTTGTAGTATGGTAGTAACTACAGGGAAGCGAGACCATTGTCACACATCACACCTGTGGGAGAGAGGTTGGAAGGTGGAAAATAATTCGTCACCCAAAAGGACTCGAGGACACTTTTGAAATCTATCGAGACTGGAAAGAGTGGAATGGGCGGCCCCCGCCCGACTATTCCATTTTCGGTCTGATCTGGCTCTTTTAAATGTAAATGAGAGCATGAAGAGTCAGATTTTCGTTTTACTGTTGTTCACCCAGTGCAAGGCCCAAGAGCCACTCAAAGGTAGAAGCTGACTGAATGAGGTTGTTGAAAGTAGATAATGGTTGACCCAAGAGGTTAACACTGTAGTTGTCAGGGAAAGTTATAGACATGTAGCTATACGTCATAATTATAGTAATAATAACTATTTCTCTCTCGCTTACACACACGCACAGATGTATTGATGCTAAGCTTAACTCTGGGGCAAGATTATAGTTGCGCATATTAATTGATATTATAATGTTTATCCTTTAGATCTTAATTTCTCCTTCATTTTTATTATCAAGTCGTCTTTTTCTGCCTTACCTCTTATTTCTTCCAATGTTATGGGCAGTTCTCTTATGGTATTGTATAATACATTATTAATTTCATTTTCGGCCCTTATCGCTGCAATTACTGTGTCCTCAAGTGATTCACAGAATTTTGGTATTATTCTAGATAATCCGTTTGCATGACATAATTTTTTGGATGGTAGAAATTCCATTTTATAATCATAATTCAATAGGATAATTCCCCAGCGCTGCAGTCTATTCTTTGTATGTGTAGGAACACCCTTTTTATTCATATATAGACAATAATGGACGATCGTCTGTCTGCAGTATGAATTCTCTACCATGTATGAATTTGTGAAACTTTTTAATGACAAATATGATGGACAATGCTTACTTTTCTACCTGGCTGTAGCTTTTTCCAGCTACAGTCAATGATCTTGAAGCATGAGCATATTTGTGTAGTATCACTGCTCCAATACCTGAATCACTTGCATCTGATGCAACCACAATCTTTAATTTACTGTCAAAATGAGCTAGCGACAAATTCGATATTATGACTTTCTTGATCTCTTCGAAAAGACTTTGGCATTTATTTGTCCAATTCCATTTCACATCTTTCTTCAGCATTCAGGGTTATTCAAGGGTGCTCTTAATTCGTGCATGTTTGTTTGAATATAAATATAAATATATATATATATATATATATATATATATATATATGATAGGATAGAATTAGCAAACCCTAAAGATGCTTGTAACTTTGTTACATTTGTTGGAGCGGACATGTCTTTTGTTGCACTCGCCCTTGAAGAATCCGGTCGTCTACCGTTTTCATCGATAATTTGTCCCAGATATTTAAGTCTGGACATAAACAATTCGCATTCTCCTTCATTGATCTTAAAACCATATTCTTTAATTCTCTCAAATACTTTTTTTACATCTTCTGTATGTTGCTTTCGGGTCTTACTTTTAAATAAGTACGTCATCCAAATATGCTTGAGCACAATCCAAACTGAAAAGCATGGTATCCATTGTCTGTTGAAATTTGTTTGGTGTTACCTTTATACCGAAAGAAAGACGATTGAATTTGCATAACCCTCTCTGAGTGTTAATTGTTAATAGTTTTGAGCAGTCTTCTTCCACTAGTACTTCTAGGTAAACGTCTGACAGGTCCAATTTAGAAAAAAAATTACCTCCATTCAGTTTGGCAAAAATTTCCTCTGGACTTGGTAACGGGTAGTTATGTTGTTTTAAACTTTCATTTAACCCCGTTGAAAAATCAGCACATACGCGGATTTTAATATTCCTTTTGTTAAGTTAGACTGTTGGTGATGCCCATTCGGAATAGTCTATTTTTGATATCACACTTATTTTTCTAGTCTGTCCAGTTCATTATTAATTGGATCTATGGCCGCAAAAGGTACACTACTTTTTAACTTAAATGTCAGTGTTACATTCTCTTTTCACTCAAACTTAACTTTTGCTTTCATGCATGTCCCTAGACCTTCTTAGAAAACTTCTGGAAAACTCTTTTTCAGTTCATTTTTCAAATTTTCATTTGCCGTATTATTAGCGGGGATAACAATATTTATCTTGTTGCAAAAAAGTGTTAATTGGAAGGTCCCAAAGATTAAACAATGCAATCCAGTCTGTTCCAAACAAATGTTATTGGTCCTGACATGTCAGGTAGGCTTCAGACACTTTCCCACCGCCGTAATGTATCTTCCCGGTACTTTATAAATACTTTCATGGTAATTGTTCTGATGAACTTTCCTCTGCAGTACCTAAATTTTATGTATTTAAGCGCAGTACTAGACTTGGAATTACAGTTGAATTGGCTATATGAAGCTGTGAAGTTCTATACCAAAAGTTTCTTCTATCACACTTTGTGTTTGTGAAGATCTCTTCCGGCTTCTTGCTTTCCTGTCAACTTTGATGTTTAAAAATATAAATGCAATGTCAATTGTCATCTTCTGTCTTCTTATTTCTTGTTCTTTTATTAGCTTCCCTCCTTAATGGTATGTATTCTCTAACACGCAGTAACCCTTTGCGTTTTAGTGACTTTATTGCTTTGCTTGGCGAGAAATGAGGATTTGGAAAAAGATCTGCCAAAAATGGTGAAACGCTGTAAAAATATGTACGCAAATTTACTGTGGATGATCTTGCGATTAAAGCACTTTCTAAACATTTTCGTAAATTGTTTTCTTGTTAAATTAGGGTAAGTCAACACATTCTCCAGGAACGGTCTTTCCAAGAATATACCAAAAGACTATATGTAAATATTGTGTACACTTTCTTGTTTCAATACATTTTGTTCTAAGTACAATTTGCGTTGTATTATTATTCCATGCATTATTCAAGTTTCAACAATGGCGACGAGGTATAAAGAACTTTACGAAAAAAAAAAAAGAATTGATAATTGATAGCCTTCAACAATTGGGACAAGTCTTTGAAGAACCCAGGCTGAAGAAAAAAAATTATTAATTAAAAGTCCAACATCTAATGGAACGGCAAAGGATTCTGAAGTTCTGGATATTTAAAACTCGTTAAAGGACGACTAAGCATAAAGGAACGAAAAAATCTGAAAGGTGGCGTAAACGAATAACGGCGAATTAAAAAAAAAGAAGAAAAAAACTGTCCGACTACAAAAACATGCATGGAATTAAAAGGAGCACAAATACATCGTGTCGACTTTGAAAGGTAACGAACTTTTAAAAAAAAAATATTTTTTTGGTTGCTCAACAATATTTTATAAAGCAAGACATAAAATTAAAAAGTCGTAAGTTGTTTCGATTTTTTTGGTCAGCTTATATTATATTCGTGGATACACAATTTAAAAGTATATTCTTTGTTGCATGAACACTATCAGCTAAAGATGGATGAATTATCCAAAGTCATATCTGAATTATTTAAAGCCCAGCAGTTGAGTCAAGCTGAATTATTCAAATCCCAGCAGTTGAGTCTGCAACGTCAAAATAAACAGTTTGCCTTATTAATAAGGGAACAGCAAATAGCACAGCAGAAATATCAAGAAAAGCAAGAGGAGTTGAGTCAGCAACGTCAAAGGGAACAAGAGGAAAGACAGAAAAAATATCAAGAAAACCAAGAGGAAAGACTGGAAAAACAGGAAGAAATGCAGATCAAGGTTTTAGAAATTCAAAAGTTAACACTGGAGAAATTAAACAACAATCAAGCAAATGAAGGAAACTCTTCATATTCTAATAACATCATATTTAATTCGCTGGAAACTTTCAACTATGTGCCAGACGAAGGAAAAACGTTTGAAGCGTACTTTAAACGATATGAAGATATTTTCTACACAGACTGTGAAAACTGGTCGAATTCAAGAAAAGTCAGTCTATTACTAAGAAAGCTAGGTACAGCGGAACATAGCAAATTTGTAGATTTTATTCTACCGAGAAGAACAAATGAATTGGAATTCTCGGAAACAGTGAAATTGCTAAAGGAGTTGTTTGGAGCAAATATGTCGCTTTGGCATAAGCGATGGTTATGCATGAATGTCGCTAAATCCGATGATCAGGATTACTTAACTTATGCATCTATAGTGAATAGACATTGTGACAATTTCAGATTGGCAGAGATTACGGTTGAAGAATTCAAGTGTTTAATTTTTTCTCAAGGACTGGTATCCAGTAAGAGTGCCGAAATAAGACGTAGAGTTTTGTCTAAACTCGAATCTGAACAAAACTTTACCCTGCAAAAGTTAGCAGAGGAGTGTCAGCGGGCCGTAAATTTAAAGAAAGAGTCTCAAAAAACTGAAGAAGCTGGCATTGCTTATATTAAAAAAATAAAAAACAGTCAAATTACCCATCAGCAAAAATTTGGAGTAAAAATTCGGCGTATTTTAAAAATAGACAAGAAAAATTAAATGAAAAGAATGAGGTGAAAAAAAAGGTTCCACCATTTAATTGTAGATGGTGCAACGAAAAACACTGGGAGGTAAATTGCCCATATAGAAATAAAAAATGTTTCGTGTGCCACAAGAATGGTCACAAAGGGTCGTGTTGTAAAACGAAAAAAGTCAATAGCCGAATTAGACAAACAAATTCAAATATCAAATCAGATAGAGATTTGAGGAAGTATGTGACGACTGAAATATTTAAAAAGAATATCAAATTTCAACTCGATTCGGGTTCAGATTTAACAATAATGAACTATAAAACATGGAAAATGTTAAAAAGGCCTACAATAATGAAGTCAACGAAATGCGCTCGAACAGTGACTGGAAAGGAAATTAAATTCGAAGGCGATGTTGTACTTCCCATGAAATTGAACAGGATAGTTAAAAAAATAAAAGTTTTCATTCTGAAAATGGGAGAAAACTTGATGGGTACAGATTTTATTGAAACATCTGAATTGTGGGATAAACCGTTAAACTCATTCTGCAGAAAAGTAGAAAGTAATACGCAAACAAGACAGGACATTAAAGAGGAATTAAAGAAAAAGTTTCCGGAAACCTTCACACCTGGTCTTGGAAGATGTAACAAGTTTGAAGCTAAATTTGAATTAAAGGAAAATACTATGCCAATTTTAAAAAGAAACGTAACGTGCCTTTCGCAAGTGTAGAGAAAATTAACGAAGAACTTGATAGGTTGGAAAAAAATGGGAATTATTTCGAAAGTAGAATCTAATTCATGGGCTGTGCCGATTTTGTGCATAAAAAAGAAATCAAACCAAGTCAGAGTCTGCGTTGATTTTTCGACAGGGTTGAACTTGGTAATTAAGGACTACCATTACCCGTTACCGAGTCCGGAGGAGATTTTTAACAAGCTAAATGGTGGAGCTATATTTTCAAAAATCGACTTATCAGATGCCTATCTCCAAATTCCCGTCGAAGAGGAATGTTCGAAGTTACTAGGGATAAACACGCATAGAGGGTTATTCAAGTACAACAGGCTTCCTTTTGGTATTAAAGTGGCACCAGCCATTTTTCAACAAACTATGGACGTCATGTTGAATGATTTAGACTTTGCGTGCGCCTACTTAGACGACATCATAGTAAAGAGCGAAACCGTCGACGAACATCGAGAGCATCTCAATCAAGTATTTAAAAAGATTCAGGACTTTGATTTTAAAGTCAAAGAGTCAAAGTGCGAATTTGGTTTGGAGGAAATTAAGTATTTAGGTCACATAATCAACAAAAAGGACAGATTTCCAGATCTGGAAAGGTCCATTGCGATTAGAGACATGCCGACGCCCACTAATGTGGCGATGCTACAGAGTTTTCTGGGGCTCGCAAATTATTATCAAGCGTTCATTAAAGGAATGCACAATCTAAGAGCTCCGTTGAATGAACTGCTAAAAAAAGACAAGGCATGGGAATGGACGGTAGAATGTCAAAAAGCCTTTGATGAAATAAAGAGAATGCTTTCGTCCGACCTCTTTTTAACCCATTACAATCCAAAACTGGATATTGTAGTGGCAAGTGACGCCAGTTCATACGGGATATGCGCGTGTATTCAACACATAATGCCAAATGGTTCTAGATAACCAATTGCACATGCTTCGAGAACTTTACTCCCAGGAGAAAGAAGTTACTCACAAATCGAAAAAGAGGCGTTGAGTATCATTTTTGCCATAACAAAATTTCACAGGTACATCCACGGCAGACATTTTATGCTTGAAACGGATCATAAACCGCTGATCACTATTTTTGGTTCAAAGAAAGGGTTACCCATCTATACCGCAAATCGTCTATTGAGATGGGGAACCATTCTTCTCAATTATGATTTTCACATAAAGCACCTATCATGCAAAAATATAATTCATGCGGATAGTTTATCAAGACTAGTACCGAGTCAAGAAGAAAGATTCGAAGAATCAATTATTGCAAATATCAGAGCAGATTATGAGGTGAAAAGCATGGTAAACAACATTGTAAGAGAGCTACCGGTTACGCTAAATGAAATTAAAAAAGAAGCTGAAAGCGATGATTTCATTTTAAAAATAAAAAGCAAAATGGTAGCAAATGACCAAAAAGTGCAGGAGATTTATTCAATAGGTGACGGAGTTTTATTACATGGTGAGGGAGTAGTAGTACCAAAAAAGTTGCAGAAAAGAATAGTTCGGGACTTTCATATGGGTCACCCGGGTATTAATAGAACAAAAAGCTTAATGCGAAGCTTTGTATATTGGAAAGGAATGGATGTGGATATCGAAAACATGGTTCATCGATGTAAAGGGTGTGCGTTAGCAGCTAAGGCACCACCTATAGTACACAAACCATGGCCCAAGACGGATCATCGGTGGACAACATTGATTTGGTCCAGTAGAAGATTTTTACTACTTAATAGTGGTAGATAGTTTTACAAAATGGCCGGAAGTACTACGCTGCAAAAAGCCTACGCCCAATACCACAACAACTTTTTTGCATGAACTATTTGCACGGTTCGGTGTGCCAGAGTGTATTGTGAGTGACAATGGTACACAATTCACTTCTGAAGAATTTAAGGAATTTTGTGAGTTATATCAAATTAACCACATAACGACGCCGCCGTATCATCCGAGGTCCAATGGACTCGCAGAAAGATTTGTCGATACTTTAAAGCGAGCTCTGAAGAAAGCCTCAGGAGTTCCAACGAAAAAGGTGCTTCAGCAATTCTTACAAGTATACAGAATCACGCCAAACCAGAGAACACACGCAAACATTGCACCAGCTGAACTAATGTTCGCTAGGAAAGTTAAGTCAGTGTTTGACAAGCCTTTGCCAGGAAAAAAATAGAGTAAAGAATACCATGTATACAGCGAGAAAAATATACACCCCCGGAGAGAAGGTGTTTTTCAAGTGCTACAAAAACAACATTGAGTTCTGGGAGCGAGGCATAGTGGACAAGAGAATCGGTGACCTGATTTACATAATTAAAGGGCCGAAGAATACTCATAAAAGGCACCAGAACCAACTTAAAAAATGTTACGGTATAGAGCATGAAGAGAGTATACCGGATGAGGAAGAAGATCCCATTGATATAATGTATGATATGTTTCAAGTAGAACCTCCACAGAATACTCCTGAACCAAGAAGATCCGGTAGGAAACGGAAGTTCACGGAACCATTGAACGTGAATCCAAAACGGAAAAAATATTAAAATTAGGCAAATGGATCTACAAAGAAATAGTCATAATCATCAACCCATATAGGAAGCCAATTTGAAATCCAAAAGGGATTCCAAGGCTTGGGAGGGGGGTGTTGTGGTACGATCCACCTAATTTGCATAGTGGAGTATCGACCATATAAATATGGTTGGTACCGGGAAGACGAGTGTGAGGAAGAAGAGATCCAATCCAGAGACTCCGCCCGACTGCGACTAAGTCAACCCATTCTCCAGGAACGGTCTTCCCAAGAATATACCAAAAGACTATATGTAAATACTGTGTACACTTTCTTGTTTCAATACATTTTGTTCTAAGTACATTTTGTGTTATATTATTATTCCATGCATTAATCAAGTTTCAACACCCATTAATGTTCATAGGTACGGTATATAACAATAACATATAAGATTACGTAATGGATTTTTTAATCCGACACTATTTCTAGAAACTTTTTTTTATTTGGTAAACCCGTTTGAGTTGGCATTCCTATTATTTTAAACAGTGTAATTATCGTCAACCGGCTTCAAAATCAAGACGTCCTTATCAACGGAACAGATGCCTTCACACAAGAATCGAACTTGTATTCCTACTTTCCTTCAAGGCCTCCTACTCTTTAGCCGATGTGACCCATTTTTTCCTTATTAAGAACTTGATTTACACACCGGTTGGCATCTAAATAAAAAAAAAAAACGGCAAATTCTGTCTGTCGTCCATGTGTCTGAAAACTCTCTAACTCTAGTCACACGTCTTCTACAGAGACATATTATGCCTTTTTGGAATCAGGATGATCCTGGGATTTGCCCTTTACCTGGTGCTTGAACATCCAACATTGGGATTTTTGTCCAAATGAGAAGGGAACAGTTAAAAATTAATTAAATCAATAAGAGATCAATTGACTTGCCTTAATTGACCAGAGTTTCGCGTCAAGACGCTTGCTAGTGCTAGATGCCCGACACATATATATTATAAATTAATTGATTTAAAATATGGTTTTACGCTACACAGTTCTAACCATGTTTCAAAAATGGAAGGTCCGAATTTAATTTTGTAATTAAATTAATGACATTAGTTCCATTTCATCCTCAAGCGAATTTTGGAGTAACTTTTAAAATTACTGGGTTTTAAAGACACAGCTAAAATCATAATTCACGTTTCCAAGGTTACAGATAAATTCACTTCCATAAGACAAGGGGTGTCTATAAGAACACCGGATTATATATCTTCCTGTTCTTTCTTTTTATTTATATATACATATATATATATAGAGAGAGAGAGAGAGAAAGAGAGAGATAGGTCTATATATATATATATAGAGAGAGAGAGAGAGATAGGTCTCTCTCTCTATATATATATATAGAGAGAGAGAGATAGGTCTATATATATATATATAGAGAGAGAGAGAGAGGAGAGATAGGTCTATATATATATATATATATAGAGAGAGAGATAGGTCTATATATATATAGAGAGAGAGAGAGGGAGAGATAGGTCTATATATATATATAGAGAGAGAGAGAGAAAGAGAAAGAAGAGAGAGAGAAAGAGTAAGAAGAGAGAGAGAAAGAGTAAGAAAAAAAATTTATTTGTCTGCCACAAGGGCAATGGTAATGATCTACGTGTTTAGCTTACTAACTATTGCGTAAAGGCGTGTCGTGTAATCGCCGTCTGTGTTTAGTCTAACAATACGGATGTTCTACGA